AATAAGGGAGTCATTTAATTGTACTCTGAGCTTTAGACTGTTGTAACACATACCCTAAATAATCAATTTGAAAGAGAAAATGGTTATTTTGACTCACAGTTTATTAAGTTTCACTATGTGATTAGATGATCCCATTTCTTTGTACCTATGGTGAGTAGCACTTCATGGCAAGATATCAGAACAAAACCTCTTGCCTCATAGCCAGAAAGTATAAGGGGGTTGGGGGAGCCAGAGTTCCATAATCCTGTTTAAGGGCATCATCCCAGGGACCTAAAGAAATCTACTCAGCCCCACCTTTAAGGGTTCTGACACACACACACACACACACACACACACACACACACACACACACACACACACACCAAGGAAGCAAACCTTTATCACATAGATTGTGGGTCTTTTGATATCTAAGCTGTAATATTCGTATCTCACTTTTTTCTCTAACTTAGTGGTATAGAGAATGACTTTCATAATTATCTTGCTTAAGTTAACATGCTTGGTCTGTTTTTTGAACTGTGCAGCCCTAGAAAATTCAGTGATTTCTATAAAATTTTTTTTAAATAATGCTTTGTTATTATTAATGGTGGCTTTGACCTTATGATCCTCCTGCTTCATTCTCTTAATTTCTGGTAAATGCACTACCACTCCTAGCTCATTCTGTAAATCATAATTTCTTTTTGTAAAAGTTTAGGATTGATGTGTGAGAAATAAGAATATGCTTTTCATGTAATTAACTCATATATTGGCACGTTTAAATACTAATGCGTGTATGTGTACTCTTTTTGTTTATCTGTTTTGTTTCGAGACAAAGTCTCACTATGTATCTGGCTATCCTGGAACTTGCTATGTAGACCAGACTGGCCTTGAACTCATAGATATCCCTCTGCCTCCCAATAAAAGCTGTGTATCTGGGGCTGGAGAGATGGCTCAGCGGTTAAGAGCACTGGCTGTTCTTCCAGAGGTCCTGAGTTCAATTCCCAGCAACCACATGGTGGCTCACAACCATCTGTAATGAGATCTGGTGCCCTCTTCTGGCCTGCAGTCATACACGCAGGCAGAACATTGTATACATAATTGATAAATAAATCTTTAAAAAAAAAAAAAAAAAGCTGTGTATCATTATGCCCAGCTTATATCCTCTTGTTTATTATTTTGCTCTTATAGTAAAACCTAGTAGTTAGACTTAATATTGTAATTAAGAGGTAGTCATAACAACATATTTATTTGATTTTACTCTTAATAATCCCCTGTTCTTGTTTATTGAATATTGCATAAACAGTGGACATTTGTTTTCAAGCTTTCTTTCAACCCACTGCTTCCAGAGAATGATTACAATATTCTTTTTTTTGTTTTTTTTTTTTTGTTTTGTTTTTTTGAGACAGGGTTTCTCTGTGTTGTTTTGGTGCCTGTCCTGGATCTCACTCTGTAGCCCAGGCTGGTCTCAAACTCACAGAGATCCACCTGGCTCTGCCTCTCGAGTGCTGGGATTAAAGGCGTGTGCCACCCCCACCCAGCACTGTGTCAGGGGAATTGAAGAGTCACAGAGGAACGAAGGGGACATAGTTTAAAGATGTGAGTTTAGTTTAGCTTGGAAAAGTGGATTACACGTGGTATCTAAGGCACAGTAAGACTGGTACATTATAAAGGCAGGTTAAATGAAAACAGGCTGAGCAGCAGTAGGGAAACAGATTGAGCCCAAAGTTTTAAATGCTGTCAATGCATAATATTAACTTGATTGTAAGGCTGGGCAAAAGTCGAGTTTCTGAAGATAAGAGGTATTTCCAGAGACTTATTCCCATACCTACTAATAAACTGCTAGACATAACTTCTTCCTGAGCAGTGGAAACATTCTGGGAATGCCACTTCTCTTGTTTGCTTTTTAGAGCTATTTTGGCTAGTTAGAGATTTCAAGATTTGGGGTTTTTACATTTCTCTGTTCTTGTTTTTCATAGGTTTGTTGCTTCAACGTTTGGTTTTAATACAATTCAAGAAAAGAGGTTTTACCATAATATGAAGATGATTCTGTAAATAAATCTAGTTGAATACGTAGGGGGAAAGAGTCAACTATAAAGAATTAGGATGGCTAATGTAGATCACTAAGTGAGCATGTACTCTGTGTATTCCTGCACCATTCAGTGAAAGGTCGTTCCATTAAACACCATGAAACTTGGGCTGGAATTGATCTAATCCTGCTACTAAACATGTATATAAGCTTGGGCTAGTCACATTCATACTCTGAAACCTGAGAATTATAGCCCACGTTATTATGAGAATCAGTTAGATTTCCCTATTGTGTGAAAACAGGGAGGTAGGGCCATTGTTTGACATTGATGCTGTGACTAACAGCCATGATGGTTGAATATGCAGTGGAGTTTTCTGTGAAACCCTGAAAGGATTTGGGAAGGAGAGGAGGAGTGGGGGCTGATGTAAGAGAAAGTACTCAAGTGTTATGAATTTGAGGGAACCAGAGAAATGGAAGTGGTACTTAATTTTAAGTGTGGACTGAACATGTTGGATTTAGTCTAATGGCAAGCACTCAGTTGGTAAGCTCTCAATTATGAGAGTTCATTGGACCTAGTAGCTGTGATGGGGTGCATAGTGTCAAGATTTTTTTTTGTTTTATTTATTTATTTTTTTTTTATGCTGGCATACAAACTTTGGCTGATATTCAGTAGCTAGTTAACTTGGTAAGAATACAAATTTAGATTGTGAAAACAATTGTAATTTTAGCCTACATTTAAAAAAATCTGAGATAGAGTCTTCTCTTTTTCTAACTGGTAAGTTAAAATCACAGTTAGTCTAGAATCATCTCTTTGGATGGGTAATATCAATCTATTTTTGTTTCTAATCCCAGTTATACTTACCTTCTGATTTTGGAATTAACCAAGTAAGCCAAAACCAAAATATTTGGTTCATAGTTTATATTTTAGTCTGCCAAGTATTTTGTGTTTATCATTCATTTTCCCCATCATTCTTTTGTAATTTTGGTACCTGGCTGTAGAAGGTTGCTTAGTATGTCATTACAGTAACACTTGGTATCTAGATGTAATCATTATAGGACACTAGGTATGTACTCATAATCATTACAGAAACACTTGGTGTCTAGTCCTAATCATACAGGACACTAGGTATGTAGTCATAATCATTACAGGACATTGGGTATGTAGTCCTAGTCATTACAGGACATTGGGTATGTAGTCATAATCATTACAGTACACTAGGTATGTAGTCATAATCATTACAGGACACTAGGTATGTAGTCATAATCATTACAGGACATTGGGTATGTAGTCCTAATCATTACAGGACATTAGGTATGTAGTCATAATCATTACAGTACACTAGGTATGTAGTCATAATCATTACACGACACTTGGTATCTAGTCCTAATCATTACAAGACACTAGGTATCTAGCCATAATCATTACAAGATATTAGGTATCTAGTCCTAATAATTACAGGACATTAGGTATGTAGTCCTAATAATTACAGGACATTAGGTATCTAGTCCTAATAATTACAGGACACTAGGTATTTAGTCCTAATTATTACAGGATGTTGGGTATGTAGTTCTAATGAATACAGGACATTGGGTATGTAGTCCTAATCATTACAGGACATTCAGTATATAGTCCTAATCATCACAGAAACTAGATATGTAGTCCTAATCACAACTTCTGATTTTGGAGAGAGAAATCAGAAATCCTTTGTAGTATACACTTGCCATGGCACAGTGCACATCTAGAAAGCAGCAGATTCTCTGAAGTGGGAGCATTAACAGAGCCTGAGCTTATGAGAGAATTCAACTGAAATATCTTTCTTTTCACATAAGAAAGCTTGCATGGAAAGAAACCAGCACATTCTTTGGAGACATTGTTTCTGCTTCTGATATCTTGAGCACATAAGATTCTTTATCTCTTGAATTTAGTTGCGCAACAACTCTTGAGTCACTGGGCTGAGCCCAGAATTTAATTTTAGCTCCAGTATGGCTTCCACAGAACTTATCTCTAATGAAAATTTATATGGTTTTCATGTAAATGGGCAGAGGAAGTCCCTCAGAGACACTACAGGTTACCACTTACACTACACAAATAATATCCCTCCCCACCAGGTGAGCACTAAGCAGACAGTGGGAATCCCATGTGATGAGGTCAGGTTCTTTTGTGTGATCTACCCACTCAGCAAGAGTTTCTCTCTTGTTTTGTCTGCCTCTGACAGGATATCCATATCACCCAGAAGTCCAGAGTAGGATTAGAAAATTCAGTCAATAATTTTAAAAATCACCATCATTTTTCCATCTTGATCAAGGAACTTGATTTTTGCAAGCCTTAGACATAGGGAAATAAGTCACAGATGGATAGAATAAAGAGGCCTCACACATGGAGAAATAACCCATAAATGGATAGAAGAAAATAAGTCTTTATAAAAGACCAATTTTATGTATTAAATAGAACTTTGAATTTTAGTATTTCAGAGGAACAAAATGCCTTTTGAGAAGTTTTAATTGGTATTTATATTGGCACTACTACTACTACTACTACTACTACTACTACTACTACTACTACTACTACAGAATACCTGATAGCAGCAGGCTAAGGGAAGAAGTGAAAGGGACAGTGTCATCGAGGCAGGGAAGGCATAGCCACACCTGGGCCGGCAGGGGTATAAGGCCACTTACTCAGTTTAAGCAGGCGAAGAAAAACTGGAAGTTTTTTCTCTGGCTGGAAGTGGAGCTGGCCTAGAACCTTCATGTTCTGTCCTACACCTACCGGCTAGGCCCTGCATGGAGCAGGTCCCATTATCTACTAAAACAGCACCGCCAGCTAGGCCTGTAGCACATATTTCACATCCAACCATAGAACTATTATGAGTAAAAATGAGAGACATTTGGAGTTTTGTTAATAATGTATGAAGTCTTGGGAAAATAGTCAATAAAACAGTGGTAGGAGATGTGATCCTGTTGATACTCACTTTATTTATTTACTTATTTTCTGTTTCAGGGTTTGAACATAATCTTTCATGTAGCCTTGGCTCTCCTAAAGGTATGTCCATTTTCATCTTAAGTTATCAAATATGTTACTTCTTTTGCTTGGTACTAAAATCATTCCATTTGCAGCCTGTGACTCAATTTAGACTTTAAATATTTTATTATTTGTATGTTAGCGTGTGTGTGTGTGTGTGTGTGTGTGTGTGTGTGTGTGTGTGTGCGCGTGTGCGTGCGCGTGCGCGAGAGGACATCCCTCAGGAGTCAGTTCTCTCCTTCCACTGTGAGATCTAAAGATTGAACATAGGGCATCAGGGTTGCACAGCCATCATGCTAAACAAGTCTGCTTGGCACATAGAAAGATGACATCTCTGAGAAAGTATGATCCTCTCCCTGTCATCCTTGTAAGTTATCATTTATTTGGTATTTGTTTTTCTAAAAAGCCATTTCATCTTGCTAACACTTACTCCAAAAACATAAAAGATACTTTCATTCATAAGAGCTGTATAATAAGAGACAAAGTTGAAACCTACTTTCTGTTAAAATTAAGCCATTTTTTTTCTAAAAATACTTCTTATCATAATAACATCCCTGGAGGCACCTAAACATATAATTGAATTATTTAAAAGCTTCTATAATATACTAAAAAAGAAACTACTTCATTTCAATTTCTTGTTCTTTCCCTGATAGCTGGAAATATATGACACTTTAGAATTCAATTATAATTACCTTGCTGAATTTTATATCAACATATCAATATAGCTCTAACAGTATAGTAATAGTAAGACATTTGTTACAGAGTTGGTTTAAAAAAAAAAAGAACCCAAAGAAGACATTCTGCTACTGAAGATGAAAATTGCCTTTCTTTTCCCTAATAAGTTTGTGGTTAAAGCACAGACATTGGGCCTGGACAGTTCTGTTTTCAGCCTGTTTATGTGCTTTGAACTTCAGTTTTGAGATAATAATAAAATTAATTTATGGTATTATAATTAAATAATATTGTATATTAAATTTCTTAGTAACTGTCTAGATATTTGCTACCTACTTGACATTAGCTGTTATTATTATGGTCATGTCTCTGGTCCTTATGACTGGATCAGATGCTCTTAATCCTGGAGCCCGCTCTCCAGTTCCCCACTTAAACGGTTTTCATAAAATGGCATACATATATTTACCTAATCCCTTCATAAAATTGTGGATCTTGACTTTGATTTTTTCCTGATATTAAAATAAAATCAAAACTTAATCACATGCTCTCTCAGCAAGGCTAGAATAAAGCTTAATAATGACAAGGCAGGGAAAGTATTATTATTTAGTAGTATTACTAAAAATACCATCAAATCATAAGTATGTACAAGGAAGTCTAACAAGGTTCTAATTTTTTCTATAATTTCTAATTTTCCTTTTCACTCTCAGGCATTTTATGCTTTCCAAAAGTCTTTTTCCTGTGTATTGGTAGCTCATTTCCTAATATTTAGTTTGTCTTTATGTAACCCAGTGCTATCCCTCTAGATAGGACCTTTACTGTGCACCAGCTTAATACTGTAGCTATTGACTAATTAGTTAGCAAAGATACAGGAGGAACCACTGGTAAAGAGGGAATCTATGCTTGAAACTACCTTGTATGAATCCTGAAACTGACTCCACACAGAGATGGAAAATACATGGGACTCCATTGAAGTGAATGCCATCGATCTGATTATTCTACCTGGTGGAAGGAACATTCAGCCATACACAATAATGACTGACTTCTCATTTCTCATATGCCAGAAAAAGGGAATGTGTATCTGTTTATATAAAAGTTAAAACTTGGATAACTTTTCAGTAGTTCTGAGCCTGACTGAATTTGAAGTAGAACCTGTCTGTATTAGAAGTGATTTCTTTTGCATCTTCTGAGCTGAGTGCTAGCATAAGCACAGCCCAGGTGATAACTGAAGAGGTGCCTAAAGTTGTCTGAAATGTTATATCTCATAATGACAAAGCTCAAGTTAGTTGCTTTCTTTTTTATTTACTACTAGTACATACTAACTGAACTCCATAATAGAATTCTTTGTAGTATTTTATATATGTGCATAATGTACTTTGATCAGGTTTACCCAGCTATGCTTGCCTCCCTCCCCCATGCTACTGTTCCCTTCCTCTACTCTAATAGTCCCCTTTCTTTCCTGTCCTTTTTTTTAAACAGCTGCATTTGTCATGTGGAAGAAAATATGCAATATTTGTCTTTCTGTGTTTGACACATTTTGCTTAGCACGGTGACCTTCAGTTCCATTTATTTTCTGGAAAATTACATAAATCCATTCTTTATAGCCAACAAATCTGTCATGGGTATTTACTGCATTTTCTTTATTGTCTGTTGGTGAGCACCTAGACTGATTATATATCTTGACTATTGTGAATAGTGTCACTGTAAACATAGATGTGCAAGTGTCTGTAATGTGCTGGCTTGGATTTCTTCAGGTATATATCCCTTAAGAATGGTACAGCTGGATTGTATGGAAGTTCTATTTTTAGTTTGTGAAAAATTTTCATATTGATGCCCAGAATGACTGCTTGAGTTGATACACCTAACCAATGGGATGTTAGGGTTCATTTTCCCCTTGACATCACCAGTGTTTTCGTTTTGTTTGTGTGTGTTTGTTTGAGATAGGGTCTCACATATGCATACAGTAGTTAAGATCATGTGGACACTGGAGCCAGACTATTCACCTTCAAGTTTCATCTCCAATGATGCATTCAGTTCATACCCAAGAGTCTGCAAACTCTTTACTGCCCCAACACTGTTTGAAAGTCCAATCCAAAGCCTCCTTAGACTGCAACAAACTAAACTCTCAGTGCCTTAACAGGAAAAAGTCACAACAAAAGTTACATGCTTCCAAGATACAGTGTGGACAGGCACATACAAACATTTATATTCCAAAGGCAGGAATCGAAAAATAGTCAGAAATCATCCCAAAGTAAGAGGAAAACCAAATAAAGCTTGCGTTAAAGCTTAAATCTCTGTTAGTTGATCCACACTGGTGGCCTGTAAGCAGCTGTAAACATGGCAGCACCATCCTGCAGCCTGGCTGATGGGGCCTCTCTCAGACTGGCTCTGCTCTCTACCTACAACTCTCCTCAGCGAGTTCTGCTCACTGCTGCCCTCTCTGCCTTCCTGGAGTCTCTGCTGCAGCTTTACCTTCCATCCTTGAAGGGACTGCCTACAGGGATTCTCTCCCTGTAATACACTGCCTGCACTCCCAGGCTCTCCTTTGACATCTCAGTGAAAGCCTCCATGACCCCACAGTTCTTACATTCTTCATGACTACAGAACCAGCATTACTTGGGTGTTGCCAAAGTCTTCTGCCAACATAAGCTATTCCTGGGCCCACTTAAACCGTGACTGGCCTTTCAGCTAAGTATAGGAAGTGAGTCTCTAGGTTCTTTGGTTGTACAGGACACCCCAGATCTTATCTCAAGTGTTGGAATCAAATTTTTATTTCTACATCCATGAGCCCTTGACAGATGGGATTCTTGCAGAATGCTGAGATGTTCTTGTCCAGGCTTATAGCACTTGGCTTTTTAATGTTATAGCAACTTCATATTCCTTGCCCCACATTTTACACATCCTCTGCTTCTGACTAAACTGCAAATTAAAAAGAAAAAAAGTCTACTCTTCTCCTTTCCCTCCCATTTATCACTATAAATCTGGCTAAATTAGCAGTCTGAATGTTTTGCCGCCTTGAATGTCCCTCAAGGACACTATACACCACTTTGGTGATGGCTAGCTTTTGGTGATAAATATTTGAGAGGAACTTGTTTTAGAAGGCAGAATTTAGGCAAACATGACAGTTTATCAGTTGATTGCCACCAAGCCTGATGGCCTGGATTCAATCCCTAGGAACCTATGGTAGAAGGAGAGAACCAACTCTGGCAACTTGTTCTGTGACCTCTACAAGCATGCTGTGTCATACATACAAGTTGCCCCACACACACACCACCATATAAAAAGTAATAAAAGAAACTTTTTGAATAGGGACAATTTATTTTGGTTCATGATTTTAGTTTCAAGTTTAGATTGAAGTTTCCTCCAAGGTTGATTGGATAGTTTGCTTTGAGACTGCGGTGAGGTAAAGCTTCCTGGTGGTCTAAGCACATGGCAAAGTCTCCTCACCCAAGAATGGCCAGAAAGAAGAAAAAGATGAGACAGGTTCTGCAGGAGATACCGTCCCAACCAATCCACTTTTCCAAGCAGGCCTCACTGATGAGAATTTCCACCGCTCTCTGAGGCAGGATGGAAAGAAAAACTTTGGTGACATGAGAAGGGAATGGGGCTCCTCACCCAGAGTCCAGTTGAAGCCTCTCCCCAGTAAAAGCAACAAGGATTCCAGCACAATGACCAACTGCTTAAGGCCTGCCTCCCTTCCCAGCTGTAAACCTGCCATAACTCTTCAAGGCATCTCCTAAGCAACCCTATAATCTCACTTTCAAAAGAGAATAAAGAGGATTTCTTAGCAGCCTTTTGAGATGTAACTCAACAGTCACCAGAATGGTATATATAGCTAATTGTGACTCTTGTGAAGCCTGTACCCATAAATGGGTATGTTTTATCTACACCCATGTGAATCAGTGTAATTACCTTTCTTTCCAGAGCGCCTCTTTTCCTCCTAACCCTCATACCTAAGCCTGTATTAAAATACCTCTAATAAAGTCTCCAACTCTGCTTAGTTTTAAAGTGGCTAATCCTGAAATTCTCAACATTAATATTACAAATCCTAGTTTGGCTTGAGTTCAGATCCCTAAAAGCTTAGGGGAACTCCGAGCAGCTGAGGATGACAGTATAGATCTATGTTTCTGTAACCTTACTACTAATAGTCCCAATAGTAGCATCAAGTTATGTATAAATCCATCAATGGGTCGATCCATTAATTAATTAATGGTCAGAGACGTCATGTTCTAGTCTCTTCTCAGTGAAAACACAGGCTTCTACATGAACCTTTTGTGGGGATACTTCATATCCAAACCATGATAATCTTTATTGTCTACCTCCCACAAAGTATCAGGACATGGACAAAATGG